AAAGAGGTCATGGCACCTAAGATATCATGCAGATGCCAAATGGATCCTGGCTTAAAGCAGAGAATACCAGAAGAGTTTATACTTTATTAACTCTGCAAAGGCATTTGACTATGTGGAGCATAATAAATCATGGCTAACACTGAGAAACCCTAATAACAACTCCACTATATTGCTCACAATGATCCACCTGGATTAGTTTAAATTCTGAAACACTTGGTTTGTGGATGGTGGATAGTTTGTGGATTGTGCATTTCAATTCTTTGCAAAAGTTCAGTTGTTTGCCTTTTGAGTTCTTTCACCTTTAAGTCAACCATACAGCTTTGCCCTCAGGAAGAGGACAGAGTAGAGTATAGCTGCCAAGTGAGCTTCAAAAAACAAACAAGGCCATGCATATTGCCTTGAGTCAGAACCGTCATACTTGACCCTCCAGTAGCTTTTCAGAGGTTGTAATTCACTTGAGAGGAGATGTCTATCATTCTTCTGTGGAGCTGCTGGAGGATTTGAACCTCCAGAGAGGTGCTACCTTGGAGTTAGCAATGTAACTTACAACAAGACTATGCCCTCAGAGTTCTTTCTGTAAAGTGAGATGAAGGAGGATTGCATAGAAGAAACACAGAATTGATAGAGTCATGGAGATTGTGGCACAGGATAGGGCCACGTTCAGATCTGTTATTCATAGTGTTGCTAGGAGTATTAGTCGACTTGATGGCACCTAACAAAATCTGAGATCCTGTTGAATAAGACTCAGACCAGCAGACCATGGACTTACAGTGTCCCTACCCTTGTGAACAACTACTGAAGCTGCCTTGTACTGTACCATCTACCAAATCTTCACCATGCTCAAACCCACAGTTGTAGTTACTATTTCAATCCATATCCTTAAAGGTCTTCCTATCCCTCACTGATCCTCCACTTTTCACAGCATGTTGCTGTTTTTCAAAGACCAGATTCTCCTGACAATATGTACAAAATATGTGAGACAAAGTTCCGCCCTCTCTTGCCTCTAAGGAGCGCTCTGGTTGCATTCCCTCCAAGACAGTCCTGTTTGCCCTCTTGACAGTCCACGCAATATTCAGTACTCTTCTCCAACACCACAAGCATTTAAAAATACCATGACTTTGATGAGGCACATCTTACCCTTTTAATTGACATCCTTGCTCTTTAACACTTTAAAGAGGTCCTCAACAGCAGGTTTTCCCAATGTCCTTTGATTTATTTTTTTTTTCTTTTCCCTTTGTCTTGGCACTTGAGAATAGAACTGGTGGACAGGAAGCCACCGGAACCGAAGTCATGACGCTGAGGGGGCTGGAGCTCTCTCCCTTTGCCTCCATACATAACGGGGACCAGACTGCACCCACGCCCCCGCCAAGAAAAGGAGGGTCGTCCTTTGATTTCTTGACTGCTGCTACCATTGGTTTTGATTGAGGATAGAAGTTTCTCACATGGTAGAAGCCAGAAGATTGCTGCTGTTGTCATGTGCTCTCAAGTTGACTATACTCAGCAATCCTTTGAATAGTGGATCTAAACCCATTCATTCTGTGCCATCCTTACCATCTCCAAAAGGCTTGTGTCCATTGCTACAGTCACTGTGAACATCTGTCTTCTTGAGGGTTTTCCTCTCTTTCACTGACCCCTCCCACCTTTCCCAGCACAATGTCCTTCTCCAAGCACTGACTCCTCCTAACAATATACCCAAAGTATGTGAGACAGAAATTCACCCTTCTTGTCTCCAAGAACCCTCCTGATTGAACTTTCTCCAGGACAGACCTATTTGTTCTCTTGGCAGTCCATGGGCTATTCAGTACCCTTTCCTAAAACCACAACTCAAAGAGATCATTTCTTCTGACATCCTCAGTCATTGTCCAATTTTCAGATGCTTGTTGTTGTTGTTGCTGATTGCTGTCAAGTTGAGCATGACTCATAGTGACTCTATGAACAAAAGACCTGAAGCCTTTCTATAATTATTGTTATTTCTCAAAGTTCATAGAGTGGCATCCACTTCCTAAACATCATACCTCTGGAAACTCTTTGAACTTAGAGAAACGACAACTTCAGATGCCTAGCAAGCCACTAAGAAGATCATGGCTCAACCAGGTGCACTTTAGTCTTTAAAAGTATCTATTGTTCATATACTCTAACATGGACTCTAATAGCAGATTTTCTCAATGCAACTTGTCTTGTGACTTGGGGTTTTGTTTGTTTGTTTATTTGTTTTCTGATTTTTTAAACTGCTAGTACCAAGGGTGTTGATTGTGGATCCCACTAAGAGGAAATCAATGACAACTTCAATCTTTTCTTCTTCTATCATGATGCTGCCTAGTGGCCCAGTGTTGAGGGTATTTGTTTTCTTGATGCTGAGATTTAGTCCATATTGAAGTCCTTGATCTTCTACAGCAAGAGCTACAAAGTCCTCCTCACTTTTAATGAGAAAGGAAAAAACCCCTGGTCTTGTAAATTTTATAACCTACAATGATGCACATACATACATAGGGTTTCCAGAGGCCTGCTATTTCAGAAGTGGATGGCCAATCCTTCTTCCTAGTCTGTCTTAATCTTAATGTTCAGATTTAGAGAAGTATCCAACAGACAAGCGTTTTTTAGAAAAAGTGAAAGATACATGCCTTATTGTGGAGATAACCATTGGTATTAGTGTTGTCCCTGCCCCTGGCACAAATGTCTTTACCCACTTATTTCCCTGCTCCACCATCCACCAGGATACCCATCCATTTCTACCTACTCCCTTCAACATCTATCTCCCATTGTCCAGCCCTTGATCTGATAGCTTATATCTAAAGCTTCCTTGGCTTCTGTGATTCCAAACAGGTCAGCGGCTGATAGTTTCTTATGCTGTGAGCAGTGTCTCTTAAGTTTAGTGGTAATGTTTCCCGAGGAAGGTGATGTACGGACAGCACAGGAGGGGAAGGCACTCTATGAGGTGGATTGATTCACTGACTGTGGTAATAGTGTATGTATGTTGGAGACAGTGCGATTGGCACAGGAAAGAGCAGAGTTTAGGGCTTTTGTACATAGGTTCACTATGAGTCGAAAGCAACTCGACGGAACATAACAACAACAACAACACAATGATGTACAAGTACCAATCATGGTCCTGCGTTTGCCTTCAAGACTAATGGGTTGTATCTGTCACCAGTCATATTCATGTAACTATTTCCTTTTTCTTCTGTTTTGTTAAAGAAAGGCATGGCTAGGATTCACTGGATGCCTTTCCCTCATTCTGGAATGATTGTCATCTAGAATGATTGTCTTTGTTCTGCTTAAAACTTACAAAGTCTCTATAGAATGCTTGAATCTGGAGTGCCTTTCAACCCTAAGACAAGATGGCAACAAGGATGAGATCCAAAGACCTCTTTGCTAAAGGGATCCCCCAGGAGTTGAGGACTGGAATCAATATCAGAGAAGGGATTTTTGTACCCTATTGCTTTCCCTGAATCCCAGAGACCCCATGAGGTAAGCTCTCTTGGATCTGAGCCTTTTACTTCCTTGTGACTGTATGAGGACTTTTATTAAGGTTTGAGTTGTGTATGTAAGATTGCCTTTGGTACTCTCATAAAAAATCCTGGAGAAATCAAGTGTTAAACTTGTAAGAAACTAAAATTAGATTTTAGGATAGAGCTTTTATGGAAGTCTGATCATTGTGTATTGGCATTTCTAGGATTGTTGATAAGTTTGTTTTGTTTTGTTTTTTTTAAATTGCATGTGTTAAAAACCCTGTTCTAATAAGTTTTTTCCCCTTGTCCTTTCCCCTAATCTTTCCTTTTTTATCCTCTTGCTAGGATTTTATTTGCTCCCACTGGCTATGAAAGAAGGTTATAGACTCCTGTGTCAGATTAAGGCTGTTGAGAGGATGACAGGAAGTCAGATTCAACTCTAAGGAAGCAATATACAAACTAAAGCTCAAGGTGCTTCCCCTGTCACGATTTCATTGAACCCAAGAGCACTAAACTTAGAACAAATTTGAACCATCTCTGAAATTAAGAAATGCTGTATCTAGGGACAATCCAGTATATAGACAGGTGCTGTGGCTTTGTCACATGCTTGCACTTATCTACTTGGAAACAGTCTCATTGGAAACAGTCTAGAAAAATAAATGACCATTTTTGGAGTTCTCTATAGAACCATTTTTTTTGGTTTCACAGAAAAATTGCAAGTTGTAAAAAGTGAAATGGAACACATCAAGAATAATGTTCTGGGGGAGCTCTGGTGGCCTAGTGGCAAGAAGCTGCACTGCAATCCCAGAGGAACACGGTTCGAATCCACCAGATGCTCTGCCGGAGAAGGAGGCGCAATATCCTCCTGTACCAGTCAGATCTGATTTGACGGTACACGCACACAAAATAATAAAAAATTTAAAAAA